GCTGTGTCTGACAGCCCAGCCTCGCTCCCGTGCGCATCTCTGAGTCACGTGGTGGAAGCTGACGTCACAGGGGAGCTGTGTGCTGCTGAGGGTCCCTGCAGTGTTGGGCAGCCCAGCCCAGGCTTCCCCTCCCTGCTGGAAGGTCTCCGGCCGCTCGGACGCTCTGGCGTTTTGCCAGGCTTTGTGCGGAGCAGCGTCCGTGCCAATCTAGACGCGGTTTTGCGCAAGAAAACCCCCAGCGCCATTTTCACCATCGGGGCTTTTTGTGCAAAACAGTTTTCAGCGTCTGCACTGGCCCCTCCTGCGCAGAAACGTTTCCGGAAAAGGGCCTTGGCCCGAACGGGAACGGCAGAGCGTTTGCGCAAGGAGCACGGATTTCGGACAGTAGAACGTCAGAGCGTTTGCGCAAAATCAAGCAGCCAGTGGAGACAGCTGGGAAGTTTTTGCACAAAAGCAGCCGCTTTTGCGGAAAAACTTGCCAGTCTAGATGCAGCCATGATGTAAGTAAACTCACTGTAACGTGGAATCTGACTCCTCCTTGTACAGTTGAGCAACATTTGGTGACCCTGGAAAGAAAAACTTGACTCCCTGGAACGTACAGATGTATATCTTTGTACTGTCAGTGAACATTTTAAAAAGAGGGGAAATTAAATGGCAATTACGTACACAGTTACGTAGTTACCTACCTCTTGACATCCTTAGTCCAATCCTGTGCCCGGTTCCCTAGACTGTACCTCTCTGAAGTCTGCTTGCACTTGGAAGTCCTTTTATGGATTTTAATTGTCTATATTTTTTTCATCTAGACACTTGTGCACTTCCATGTGAGTTCCAGAAACAACATGGGAAAGATCCTGGCTGGGGAGATTGGAGGGGCTCTTTGGAGGCAAGGGGGTAGCAGCCTCTACTGTCTCCTTGGCTGTAGTTAGATGCTTAACTGGAGCAGTGGTGGGTAACATCCTTCCTCTGCCAGGCAGGCTCTGTCCAGAACTGTCTCTTTCCTCCCACGCTTGACAAAAACTCTGCTAATGCAACGCAGGGCTGAGACTGCGCAGGCACAAAAGTCAGTAACGCTAACTAAACGTGGGCCTGGCGCTGCAGGGTACCAGCCATCTCCATGTACAGCACAGTGCTCTGTAGCTGGGTCCCAGTCTGTGACTTGATGAATTCCCAGAAGCTGTGGGTACGCACCTGTAGGGGAGCCTGGACAACCCCGTCTTGACTAGAATGATAATGGCTTGACCAAAGTGCAGCTTCTAACAAAGGAAACCCAGGCCTGACTCAAGCCTAGTGCACATAGGCCAGGCTGAGGGGGGAGGGGGTGAACTTTGAGCATCAGGAGTGCCTTAAACAGTGGTGTGGAGGGAGAATTGGTCTAGTGAAACCACACCAAGAACATTGGGAGAAAACTGGTACAGGTACATACCATTTCTAATAAGTGAAAATCACCGATGCAGCCATAGAACTATCAATCAAGGATAGTATAGTTTGAATAGCAGGGTGTATCCCAAATATGGGCATATACAATATGTAATCAATGGGTAGATTTCACTAGAATGCCCAAGTCTCGCTTTGCTATAAAAGTAGGTGTAGAAAAGATAATCAGTAGAAGGGATTGGGTAAGGGCTCCCCATCTCCTTACTCGCAACTAGAAGCGGTGCCTGTTCCTACCGACTGATGCATTGTGGACACCTCTGCGCGTGGGAAAATAAGGCCACGAGCGCCCGTCTGACAATCATAAGGTCTTAGCAGTGGAAGTGTGTGCGATTTATAGAGATAACTATATGTTTAGCCATTCCCTTAAAAATTAAGGTTTCTGTGTCTTCTCCTAGGTAAAGGTGTTATATTATTGTCTGTGCTACTATCCTGTGTGTTGAAATAGATCTGTGTAACCTTGCATTGCTTTCCTTTACTACTCTGTGCATAATAAAGTTAACAAGAGTCTGTGTTGTTGTTACTGGCTTCTCTCGTATCCAAAAGCCAAACCACATGACAGCACCTGATAATCTCCAACCCCTGTTGGAGGGTGTCAGTGCGAGGGCTTTGGCTCCCTAGACCCTGGGATGCTGTTCAGGGAACGCTGGGAAAAGATGGGGCCCTGCAGGGGTCAAGCCAGGGCCTGGCACTGGCCAATATTTTCATGAATGACTCCAGTAATGGAGCGCAGAGAGTGCTGGTGCAGCTTGTGGGTAAAACCAAGCTGCAAGTCCCTTGGAGGACTGGATCAGAATTCAAAATGACTTTGATAAATTAGTCTGAAATCAACCAGATGAAAATCAATAAAGATGAGTGCAAAACCTGACCCTCGGGAAGGAAAACTGCAATGCCCCACTGCAGCAGGACTGCCGGAAAGGACCAGGGCATTACAGGGGCTGTTGACTTCGGACCGTCCCTGCCAGCCCTGCGTATGCAGGATTGGATTTCTGTTCTACGCCTTCGTCCGTCCTGCTGCATTAATGCTGCATTCGTAGCTCTGGATGTTCCTGTTTGTGGCGTGAACTGTAGCATTGCTGTAAATATAGCTGATGTGATGTGGTTGTGATGTGGAGTCTAAGCCAGGAAGAGCAGGAATAACAGAACCCAGGCCAGGAGGGCTGCACATTTCAACTCGACTAGAGGAAAAACTGCTGATTTGTATGAGCTGTGCCTGGCTCAGCACAATGTCCGCAAGAGGCGGGTCCAGGGCCCTGTTCCCCTGCCTCCCCCACCTGCCCAGCAGTCGCTGGCCCAGACAAGGGGCTGTTCAGGGAACAGCACAAAGAGACGGGCTGATTTGTTATCAGGCTGGAGCAGCTGCTCTGGGGAGATTGTGGGCGGCAGAGAAAGCTCCGATGGCCATTTTAGCCACAGGGGGATCTTGCGCAAGAAATTCATGTTGCCTGTCCACACTGGCCTCGGGTGGACGAGCTCTTGCGCAAGAGGGCTTCTTCCGTGGGGAGAAGCC